TGGATTTGATGTGAAAGAGATTCTCCATTGTTGGCTTTGAAGATGGAAGAGGCCACATGGCAAAGACCTGACAGGGACCTCCAGGAGAGGACAGCATCCCATGGACAGCCAGCAAGGACATGGCCACCTCCTGGCAACCACCAGGAACAGAACTCTTCCAACAGCCTGCATGAGCTGGGGAGAAGATTGTGGGCCTTAAAGAGATCAACTCTGCCCCACGCCTTGATTTCTTTCTCCTGAGACCCTAAGCAGAAAGAGAGCTCAGCTACATGGTGTCCCAACTTCTGCTCCACAGAGCCATGAGCTAAAGAATGGATATTGTTTAAACCGCTAAATTTGTAGTAATTTATGACTCAGCAGTGGAAAAGTAACACAGTAGTACGTACTATGCTTCCTATTTGGTTGCAACCAGAATAGTGAAACAAATTCTGACCAGAATCATAGGAAGAATTAAATTCATGAACCAAGGTACCACTGTATATTCTATTTTGTCGACCACAAAGTAGGAACAAAGCTCAAACTACATTCTCCTGTTATTGCTTTGGAAAGTAATAGTTGGAGAAAACTCTCTGCAGAGCCTGGTATAATTAAGTGAGCACTCGGAGTCACTCACCTGGGATTAACAGCCATTGTTGTCACTCCCATAAGTACCATTACAAAATGGGACAGCGGCATGGAGAAGGCATGGGACCTATTGTCAGAAGATGATAATGTCCCATTCCTGAACCCTCCACTCTGAGTGACACCACCAACGTGCAGCTGCATGGCCCAAGCCTGGGAAAATCACAGTACTACACTGGGATCTTCTATGTGGACCCTGAAAGCAAGAACTTCTCCCTTTCCTCTGGAAATGTCTGGCTGTTTATAGCCCTCCTGTCCTTCCGAAAAAAAAAAAAAAATGTCTACATGCAGTAGGAAAAGATGAGAAAAATCCAGAGAGTGACAAAGATGTGAAAGGGAGTATCCCTAGATACAGCTGTGCCTGAAGCCCACCCACCTCAGCTCACCATAGTCCTATGAGCCATCAATTCCCCTTTTCACTTCAGCAAGTTTTAATAGAATTTCTATCACTTGTAACCAAGTGTCCTGACTAATACACTAGGCCTCCTTTTGCTCATCTAAAAATTAAAAAGCTGGGGCTACAAGGGAATGCCCTTCTACTAAGCCCCAGAGTTTAGATATGCCTTCCCAAATGGCCTCAGTAAAAGTAAAGACTAGGCCTTAGAGGAGAAAGTCTCTGACAGTTGGTCAATATTTAATTAAGACCTCAGCTCTTGTACCTAAAATAATGCTTTGCACACAGTAGAGCCCTGCTAAGCATTAACAACAGGAGCTGTGCTCTTGAGAGCTCCACAGCTACAGTGTGAGCTCCTTCTTGGTTTGTGGTTCTCTCCCTCTCTCTCTCTCTCTCCCCAAAAGGAGCTGTACTTACAAAACATTTTCACAACAAAGGGTGGAAATTCTGAGCTCAGCACTTTCCCAGCCAGATGGGGACCAGATGTGCAGCGTGTATCTGACAGAAGGGCCACCTGGGAGCAAGATACACCCCTAGGGCCCCACCTCCCTGGCCTTCTCGCTCCTCCCTTTCTGTTCTGGTTTCACTGTGATTCATGTGTTCCCACCAAGATCCCCCAACCCAAGCCACCGCTCAGCCTCTCTCCTTGAAGGTATTGCAGCATCCAAGGGTCTGGGCGAGACAGCACAGCACCACCCTTGCCCTGAGGGCTGGGCAGTCCTGGAAGGTCAGAGACCCCAACACCTTTGTCTCCTCCATCTGCAGAAAACAGGGGCCGAATGCAAACTGCAGACAGTAGCAGTGACAACCTGGGAAAGGACCACAGCATATGGGAGGCAGGGAGGCCAGGTGAGCCACAGGTCATCAGTCCTTCTTCACCTCTCCACATCCACTCACTCCAGCAGTAAAAGGAGACCCGCAAGTGCAACGCCCAATGCTTTGGGGACCAGCACAGGTCTGCAGTGAACATTCCCAGGGAAGGCAAGCAGGGGGCTCCAACACAATTCACTCCTCAAGACTTTTCTTGCAATTATTCTGAAATCTCATCTCTTTTCCCAAACCTGCCATCCTCCCTGATCTTGCCCATACATATCTTGCCCATAATCTCCCTGTTCATGCTTCATCTGCAGAAACGTGGCTTCCTCTCTTGTCTTTTCCAAACCACTGCTCATCGTCACATTCCCAGGCCCGGGACCCTTCTGGATCCACACATGCTCTGTCCATAGGATCCTTTTTCTTTGTAAGGTAAAGAGGAATGGAATTGTAGATGCTTATAATGGTTTTCTCTGCTGCCACATAAATAAATATGGAAATTTTCCTAGCACACAGATTCTAAAACCTTCCTTTCTAAATAAAGAGAAAACAAAGTGTTCACAGGGTACCTTGCCCTAGTACAGTGTGCACAGCTCTGTCCAACAGACCTGAGAGTCAGATTTCATTAGAGAAAATGTGGCAGCCAGACAATGTCTCCAAGGTATCCATTCTGGTGTTCTGGGTCCCTCGTCCAGTTTGATTACCATCCTGGTGACTACAAAGGAGTCCTGGCTGGCAGGGAAGGTGTTTCTACTTGGTTGGACTCCCCTCTACTCCCCCAGGTCACTGAGGCTTCCTCTCCAAGGCACAGAGAGATGGATTTGGGCACAGCAGGACCTGGCAGTGGGCTGGGCCTTCCCTCTGGTGTATCTTGATGCCCGTTTGTCTAACTTTCCCAAGAAGCCCCAGGGCCAGAAGCAATCAAAGCAGGTACAAGAGACCAATTTAAACATCACAGTTGGCCTAAACACTGAATGAACTCTATTTACTCAAGCAATATTAATGACTGGGCCATTCTTGGGAGCTGGCTATGAATTTGAGGGCTACAGGAATGTGAAGTCAACATGACATTGGACTTGAACATTTAACTTATTTGCAATTAGCTGAAGGCAGCCTCCCCATCCCTGCTTCAGTGATTTACTAATTCTAAATGTTACTAGAGAGATTTGGTAAGGCTGAGGCAAACAGAGGGTCATTTAAACCAAAGATGTACCTACCTACAGGTTCCTTTGAGCCACACCTGAGCTCAAAACTTCACTTTTCCTCTTCAGAGGGAAACAGTTGAAGAGGTCTCAAAGTGGTTATCCCAGTCAGTCTAGAAAACAGGATTCCTGAGGTACAGGACTGTAAAACTGAGACAGTCCCTAGGCAAACTCAGCTGGCTTACTGCCCTGCATACACCCAACACCCTTGGTAAATGACCACTGCTGCATCAGAAAGGGAGCTACAGGGCCAGGGATTTAGCTCAGTGGTTCCGGTGCCTGTCTCGCAAGCACAAGGACCCAAGTTCGATCCCCAATACCAAAAAAAGAAAGGGAGCTACAAAGTTGACTCTAAACGTCAGCTTCCAAAGTGTATAGATGCTGGGCCAGGGACTTAGCTCAGTGGTTCCACCGCCTGCTTCGCAAGTGCAAGGACCCGAGTTCAATCTCCGGTACCAAAAAAAAAAAAAAAAAAAAAACCAACAAAGTGTATAGATGCTGTTTGGTCAACAAAAGCTTTCAGGGTCAATGACTCTGGGAAATGCCGTGAACTCCATCAACTCTTCCAATGGTATCTTCATACACATGACCACATTCAAGGCTCTGAGAAATACTGCAGGGGTGAACATAGTTATCACAGAGGACTCAGTATGTCCCAAATTTATCTAACCACACAAGGCTTTTTTCACTTAATGTCCATCATCACCCAAGTGTACATACCTTGAGCAATGGGGATCTTATCCACAAAAACATAAACAACCTGGGGAGGTACAAGACTTGGATTCAGTAAGCCATGCACATCTACTTCAGAAGTCAACACATTGTTCTTCCTACTCAATGAAAAGTAATACTGTAACCTGACCTAAAATAGTGCTGCATTCTACATTTACTTTACTTTATTTTACTTATTTATTTTTTTGATACCGGGGATCGAACTCAGGTCCTTGTGCTTTCGGGGCAGGCGGTACATTTACTTTTAATAAGACACACAAGGAAAGTAACAAAATCTATACAAGATTTTAAATTGTGACTGGAACCAGCCAGAATAGTATTAAAAAACCAAAGACTTGGACTTGGAACCCAATCTAAAGGCAATATGTAGATTTTGTGTCAGAAGGATGTGAGAGACTCATTCATTCAGCAAATTAATTAAACCTATATATGCTAGGCATTGTACTGGGCACATGATACAGTAGAAAAGAAGATAAAGGGACAAGGTCTCTACACATCTCCCAGTTGGGGCTTCTGATCTTAAATTTCAGTAAGTACTGACTAAGCACATTGGTAAGAAATTACAGGCTATACAGGAGGGGAACAGGTTTAGGAGATGGTCGTGAAGACTTCCCAGGGAAGAAAATATCAAGGCTTAGCTCCCCGGGATGAAATGGGAGTGCGTGCTGAGCAGGGGAACACCACATGCAAAGGCTGGGGGGAAAACAGCTCAGAGCACTCTCCACAGATGCAAGGGTCCCCTCATCCTGACCTTTAAAGTCCTTTAGCACACAGTAGGACCTCCATGTCCTGTGACTATTGCCATCACTACTGCATCCAGGAAGCCCACCTAGTGGGAGAGAAGGTTCCATCTCACTCACAAAAAAGCAATATTTTGTGCTTGGGAAACTTTCATGATTCCCTTTAAAGCCTGTTTAAGCTTACAGATGTCTAGAAAACAAAGGCCCCATGAAGGCCTCAATCTACATATTAACAGACTATACCTGGAGACCTTGCGACCTTGACCCCTCTTGGCTTCTCCAATAAGATGCTACAGCCTGTGGTGTGCAAGCAGGCCAATGTCAGCGGATGCTCATGGGTTACTTAAGCCACCATCACTGGAGCACACATGACCCCTCCAGGAGGAAGCATAGTGCACGCTGGGTAGAAACTTTCATACAAAAAGCAAAGCATGACCTCCACCTCTCTGGAGGCTGGAGCGTGGTCCAGAATAGAGGCCACCCAGGGCAGACACTTACCCCTCTGAAATTCCAGGCTTTAGGCGAAGGAAACATGGGAAAGTTGTTTTGTTGATGCCGCTTAGGTCTAGAAGAGGAGAAAGGACATGTTCTTTATTCATTGATTAGATGCTCAGAAGAAATCATTGTTTTCAAATGCAGATTTATCAAAAAGAAAGGTGCCTGAAGCAACGGCCCAGGCAAACCTGCTGGCTGGAGTGTTCTGGTGTCTTCAGTAGCCATGTTCGCTCTCAACTCCTTCCCAGCCACAAGAGGAAAGCCACACGGTAGTCAGCTGACTAGTCAGGCTTTCACTCAGAAAAATAGAGAATAGTCCATTTCACTGAGGAAGAAAAAAATCTAAAACACAATTTGGATGTGGCCCAAAAAGTCAGACCAAATTCCCAGTCTTTGTCTTTTGTCCTACGTGGGCAGTTCCCAAAAGGACACCACTGGAGCACTCCCCAGTCACACGCTCCCACCAGGAGCCCCAACATCTCCACGGAGGCCACACTTGAGGTTCTTAAAGAGGTTACCAACAGGACGGGTAGCCCCTGCCCACCAAGGTGACACTGGTCTCCTCCCTGTCAACCTCTCAGCACAAATCCACCTCCCTAGAAGTGGCACAGGCAGCTTCGGGTGGGGCAGGGCAGGAGCCCCAGGCACGCCCCCTCCCGAAGAACCTTATTTCTGTCTTGCAAATGGAATCAAGTTCTGTAGCTGCCAAAATAGCAACAAGAATACCTTTCTGACATTTTTTATGAAGTGATAAATTACCCAGTACACACCCCAAATATGATGCCTGTCATCGTAGATACTCAGACCTTAAGCTGACTGAGATCATCCCTGAAAAAGGCCTATGTTGGACTCTTCCTGAGGTTTCAGTCACCAATGCACCACAACAGCATTGTTAGTTACACAATTTACATGATTGAATTATGATCACAGAGGTGAAAGCTGATTCTGGTCTCAACTGTCTAACCTCACACCCATGGTTTTTATTAGGTGTGTGACCCTGATACGAGGTTTTTACTGAGCTTTGGTTTTCTATGTGCAAACCAGGGGATATAACACCCGCTGTGTCCAAGAACAGTGCTGGGGCCAGGCCTGACACAGGGGGCTCGGCAGAGAGGCCCAGGCTGGTAGGAACCCCGCCCTGTCAGAGGGACCTGAACATCAGGCCCTCCTGCCTCCCCTCCTCCTTCACACAAGCAGCAGAGGCCAGGCCAGCACTGCAGACCAGCAGAGACCGATGGTAGCAATTCCGATCTAAGGCCTTTCCCCATCAAGCAACATGTTGGTTGGCCCAAGTTCTTTTGTAAAGAAACTGCTGTCTTCAAAAAGAAATTCCTGGCCGGGGATTTAGCTCAGTGGTTTCGCCGCCTGCTGCGCAAGCACAAGGACCCGAGTTCGATCCCCGGTACCAAAAAGAAATTCCTGGATATCAATGATACTTTCCCAATTATAACTGAGCTTTGCTTTCCTAATTATTTTATGAGCGTCCCTGCATCCAATGCAACAATATATACCAGAACATTTCAGTAAATATGCCCTTGTTTTATATGTTGCAACCACAGAAGGTCACACCTAATGTTAATTATCACAGTAAATCAGTGATTCAATTAAGCTGTACCAGGGACTAAGCCCTCATAACCTAAGCTTCTCGGTCCTTTATAAGATCGGTTATTGGATTATAATGCATAGAACAAAGCCCAGGCTTCCTTGTGGGAGGGCAGCACTTCAACAGCACCTCATACTATTAGGCCTCACAGCCAAAGAACAACCCGGGGCACTCTCCACAAATTGGATACCACCCTCTCCGCTAGGGAAACTGCCCAGTGGCAAACCAGCAAACCGGAAGATGGGCTGGCCCTAATTTTTAGCTTCTAACCCTCTCGCCTCCCCCCACCACCCACGGTCTCCACTCAAGGCGTGGTGTCTGGAGTCTAGCAGAACTAGGTCCACAGCAGCAAGCCTGGGGTGAGCACAGTATGTGTTTTGCCATCCAGTGAACACACATGTGACTCTTTCTCACAGCCCTGAGAAGAGGATTAGCGACTGTTTGCAGGGCAAACAAACCTTTAGGCTGTTTCTGCTTCAGGGCACTGTGGGGCTAAGGGCCTGATCTTCAGGGAGAACCATCTCGGGGCTGGGGCTGGGGCTGAATGTCACTAACTCCCTTTTCCTTACTGGGGGATTTAAGCAGGTTACCTACCCTCTTGTCCCTCTGGGTCTCAATTTCTTATCTGTAAAGTGGGGATACTTATCCCTTCTCGGAAAATGGAAAGATTAACTTAAGGTACTATATAAAACACGTGGCAGAGTTTGGTGCTTAATAGGTGCTGAAATTTATTATTATTATTATTATTATTATTATTATTATTATTATTAAAGAGAAGGCTCCTTCTTTCACCCAGTGAGGGTGAACTGTTAACATCATGAGGTTATTGTTATCACTGGTGAAGCTCATGTTGTCGGACCAAAGAAATCTGCACGTAGTTCTCACAGGTTAGATAAAACAGGCAAACAGGAGAAAAGCTTCAGTGTGATATGAATATTTGTATTAGCTGACAACATGGCCACAGCTGCGGACAGGATGCAATCACTGATGAGAGGCTCCCCCTTCACACTGAGCCCCACCTCCCCTCTTCTCTCCTAAGACCACTGCCTGCTCCAGCACCCTGTGGGCATCGTAACATTTTGTTTTTCGGATTTGGTACTGGGGATCGAACTCGGGACCCTGAAAGGCCCTTTAAGTGGCCACAGGAGAACCAAGGGGGCTCAGTTTGAGTTTGGGGAGCAGAGAGTATCCCACCACCACCAGAGGAAATGAATGTGGCCTCCATGAGACCTGACAGAGAAGGATTCAACCAGGTCACCAGGAAAGCTTCAATCTTTATTGATAAGGAAATGGGCTGAATGACACTAGGTCATTTGGGATCACACAGCCCGGCTGCTGGCAGTGACTGATCACGCAGCCAGGGTGAGGAAAGGCAGCATAATGGCGGAAATGAAACTATAATAACACCTATCCAAAGGCCCAGGCAGGCGGGGAAGGAGGCAAAGAAGCAGGAGAGGAGACCTGATTGGCAGCCAGGGCTCCACTGCAGAGTTATAAGGTGGAGAGTGACACGAGGAGATCTGCCTGCTAGAAAGACCCCTCGACAGAGAGTGGAAGGCAGCAGGGCTCCTGAGGGAACACAGGCAGGGGGGCTCCCGCGGCCCATCTCGAGGGAGGCACTTCCAGGATTCTGAGCCACGGGGACTCCCTCCCCATTCTCCAGCCTGCACCAGCTTCTTAAAGATCGGCACTGTTTCCACAGAAACATCATGTAAGCCACAGATGGAGTTTCCAACGTTCTGTCAGTCACATTTCAAAAGTAAATAGGGGCTGCGGTTGCAGCTCAGTGGTAGAGCACATGTTTATCAGCATGCATGTGCAAGGCCCTGGGTTCAGTCGCCAGCACTGAAAAAACTAAAAATAATAAAAAGCAAAACAACACAGATAAGCATAGCCCTAACAGTATAGTTTATTTGGCCCAATATATCCAGGTATTACCAGTTCAACATGCAAAAAAAAAAAAAAAAGAGAGAGAGCTAGTTTACATTTTTTCATACTGAATCTTTAAAATGTGATGTGTGCCTCGCACTTAGCACACGTGTTAACTGGTATAAGCCACATTTTAAGCACTCAATAGCCACAGGTGTGGCATGGGGCTGCCTCAAACAATGCATGCAGTTGTGCAGGGCCTCCAGCTGAAAGTCCACTGTTCTAGACCCAGCAGTTGGCGACCAATCAAAAGGTGCAAGTTGCGATCGACACCACAAAATGTGGCATGCTGCAAAGTATTTTATTATTCATCTGAATTCAGAAACACCCAGAAAAGCAAAATAGTTCACAAAGGGTTTAGAAAAACTTTGGAAAAACCAAAGGAAACTATCTTCAGGTCACAAATACACAAACATCCTATCTGAAGGGGGCAACTCTCCCCCAGTGCGACTCTGCCCAATGGGGACACTTCCAGACAAATGTCTGTGGGCTGTCACTAAATAAACAGGGCTCCTGTATTCAAACTAATCCCAGAATTAACCAAAAAGAAGAGATTTAAATGATGTGCTAAATCCATTAAATTATTATATTTGTTGTTCCTCTTCTGTAAAATGCCTGCTCTGGTCTTTTGCTCATTTATGTAAAGAGTTTCATATGTGTGAACTTTTTATATATTCAGAATATCCCATGTAGCAATGTGTCTTGCACTTAGCTCATACTCAAGTAATTATTTTTAAAAGGAATACATGAAACATCCATAAACTGATGAATTAATGAACAAAATGTGGTACATCCACATAAGGGAATATTATCCAGCTGTCAAAAAGAATGAAATACTGACACCTGCTACAGTGTGGAAGAACCATGAAAACATGTGAAGGGAAGGAAGACAGACACAAAGGGCCACATAGTGTATGATTCCATTTGTATGCAATGTCCAGAACAGGCAAATCTACAAAGGCAAAAAGTACATTAGTAGTTGGAAGAAATTAGGGGAAAACAGGGAATGGGGAGTAACCATTTGGTGAGTGCACAGTTTCTTTTGGGCTCTGTTTTCTGGAATTAGGTGAGGTTCTGGAATGAGATGGTTGTAATGGATGCACAACACTGTGAATTACTTCACTCCACTGAATTATGGCAAGCTTTAAAATGGCAAATATGATGATAATTAAAATGGCAATATTTTATGTGTACTTTACCATAAGTTTCTGAAAAGTGAGGGTGAAATAAAATATTTTCAGGCAAAATCAAAGATATATATTTAATGGGAAAAATCACGACACAATAATGTGAGATAAACTCCCATGACCCAGTCGAGAGGAGGTAAATCTGTAATGAAAGCCAGGGAAGCGGACAGTTGTGCAGCCTGGGGACAAATGGAAAAGCCTCGGTCGGCTCGGTCGCTGCTTCTGAGACACACATGCCCTGAATCACAGCAGTGACGAGCATTCCCACACCTCCTGCGGGCTCTGCCTCCTCCCACTCTGTCCCCTCCCCGGCCCCACCTTGCAACACCTACTCTGCCTCCTGCTCCGTCT